CCCCGCCATGGCCGGCCAGATCCACTGGTGCCATGTTGTTCTCTCCTTCCAGTCCGGACCCAAAGTTCCGAATGGACGTGACTTGGCAGGTACGTTCTACCACCATCGCATATATGTGCAATCTGCCTCCTTTCCGCTTTGTGCTTGCATTAACGCCATCAAACCTACCCAGATTGTGTACCAAGTGGATGACCAAGAAGCAACACCAGCCCCCACTCTCAACGAATTCCCGCTCCAAATGCTGACTGCCCTCAACGGCAAATTCAAACCCCCGAAACTCGTATCAGGCCAATGCGTGATCGAACTGCACTTTGAAATGGACTCTATCAAGTACCACAAAAACGTTTCCCGCGTGTCCACAGTACCCTTGTCGAAACCATTCGAGTTGCGCGCGGTGGACGAGTTGTTTAAATTTGCGAGGGGGTTGGGGCAGTACAAGGTTGGCTTGCTGGCGAGTAGTCATTCGCAGTTTACGCAGAATATTACGCAGTATTTGGAGAATTGGGGGATGGATTTGACATGTATGCGTCGTTCGGGTCTTCTTGCCGAATTTTGAAATCTTTTCCAACGTTCAGGCTCTCACCACCATTTTTTTCACACCACCTATAGATGTCGCAACAGACGACGCCACCACCCTTCCCTCCATCCTCACCGACCTCGATGCCCGCTCCAACCCCGTCCACCTCGCCCCCGGTCGTCGCCCCCGCAACGTCATCCTCGTCGACGACGATTTCGCCATCCTCGATGCCGTCATCACCCACCGCGTCGAGCAACTTTCCTCGGGCACCATCCTCTACTTTACGTCACCCTCCAACCACGCGCGGATGGTCGAGTTTGTCGAAACCACCGCAAAGACGCATGGAAAACTCATGCCGTCCGTTTACGTCGTGACAAAGCCCGTTGGGCCGAGAAAGTTGCTGGTGGGATTACGGTGTAGTGTTGAAGAACGGGAGGAGGAACGGGAGGAGAGTGATTATGATGAAGAGTTTGGTGGACGGCCGAGTGCCGGTTCTGGGGGGGTAGGTCGGAGACCGAGCGATGGGGAGAGCAGTCCCAAGACGCCGGCCAAGTCGGTTGCGCATCGGAGGAATGAGTCGCTAATGGTTGGTGGTGGTGCTGGTGGGGGTAAAGGTGGTGCTGGTGCTGGTGCTGGTACAGAAGCGCATGCACCTAAAATACCCGCTACTCCCGGCCGCGGAGGTATCACGCGGAGTCCGACATCTGGGAAAGGGTTATTCTTCGAGTCTAGCGGGAGCGGGAGTACCAGTGGCAGTGGCAGTGGGAGTGGGGTTAGCTCCCAGGGCAGTGGAGCGAATTCGAATACCACCGTGGGTCCCGGCACTAAAAGTGGTGGAGCCGGCAAACAGACGTCGCAGAAATCACAGAGTGTGGGACCTGGTACTGCGGTCGCTGTGCCCAACGCCGTTGCTCCGCCAATCAATGTTTTGATTGCCGAAGGTAAAATAGTTCTCCTCCACACGCGATTGTCTGCCGAATGCCGCGTTTAACTCGTTTCTGCGTTACAGATAACCCAATCAACCAAACCATTCTAAGTACCTTCCTTCGGAAACGAGGCATCAGCAACACGGTTGCCGCGAATGGTTTGGAAGCGGTGGAAAAGTTCAAGACGGGGAGGTATCATCTTGTTCTGGTGAGTGGTGCTGGCTTGTTTATTGGGGGGCGAATGTGTTTGGAAGGAGGGATGTGGGTTTGCAATTTTTGGTGCGTGTATTGACTGTTCTCTTTCACAACTTGGGCGTTATGTATTACAGATGGGTAAGTGTATATCCTCGGACTTTTCTCACGCAACGCAACAGAATCTTCGTCTACGGCATTTTCTGACCCATTCATCGATTTTCAACAATAGATATCCTTATGCCTGTGATGAACGGCATCCAAGCAACCCGCGAAATCCGGAACCTCGAAGCCAGCCGCAAATTTGCGCAGGCCGCTCAAGCAGCCGCCGACACCAAAAAGCAATTACAACCGTTACCGAGCCCGAACGTTGTGATTGTCGCGTTGACCGCGAGTTCCAGCCCGGCGGACCGCGATGCCGCGTTGGGTGCGGGGTGTAACGATTATTTGATCAAGCCTGTTAGTTTGGGTACGTTCTCCTCCCCTTCCCGTTTTCCTCTCCCTTCCCCCCGATGTCCTTTCCTCCCTTCCTAACTCCCACCCCAAAACAGTCTGGTTAGAACGCAAAATAATCGAATGGGGCTCCATGCAAGCCCTGATCGATTTCCAGGGCCTGATGCGGCACCAGTCGTCACCACCGGTACCCATGCCTGCTATACTCAGTTCCACGTTGTCGGCTCCCGCCCCCGGTGGGCCGGGAAGCTCCACGATGCCGAGTACGAGTCAGGTGCTGGGGAGCAGGGTTGTAATGAGTCCTGCTAATGAGGAAGGACCCGTGAAGGCGGCGGGGCAGCAGGCGCAGGCGAGTGATAAGGGAGAAGGGGGGAAGGAGGCGAAAGGGAAAGGAGAGGGGGAAAAGAAGAAGTGAAGGGTGCGCTGGGCGTGTGTGGATTTATATAGGTTACTAGCAGCATCAGCAGTGAGCGTGGAATTTCAATCGTATAATGGGGGAGCATGGCTGTGAAAGGGAGATGGGGCCCGTCGTTGTAGATACATTTTCCCTCTTGTGATTTTTTTCTGCAACCACAAATAAGAAACTGCTCAGGGAGCGCAAACCGGTCAAATATGAAGAAGTGCGTCACAACCGATGGGAAATTTGGATAAATGAATGATGAAGGAAATATGCACGGTATCTTTTCCGTCCCCTTCCGAATCTCACGCTCTTCTATGGCCTAAATTGATAGGAAATAAGAAATGCCCACACCAAGCGAAAATGCTACATAATACATCAACAGCGCCGAACCCCTCCCTATAAACATCCGTCCCACACTCCATCGAGTGTGAATCGCCTCACAAGTACGACCTGATGGTTCCAGGAAGGTACTTTCCCCACCCATCCTCTGCCGCCGCGGGTGCCGGCTGATGCTGCTGTGTTTGCTGCAACCCAGCAACACTACCAGCAGCAGCGGAAGGAGTGGGAAGAGGATGACCAGCACCACCACATTGATTATGAACCGCAACCAAACGGTCCAACACCAAACTCTTCAACTTCCACAAATGGTAGAAATCGGATTCGGTGGCGAGGTCGCGGAGGGTGGATGGGTCTGTAATGTTTGAGACAGTGTCCACACCTAATGAATGAATAAGTGTGAATTTAACGTGTGTCAGTCAGCCAAAACAGAAGCGCATAGGGTAAAGAAATGAGCAGAGAAAAAACAATCCCTACCCCTCAAATAATTCAAAATATGCCGAAACTGCGTACCATCCCTATCCACAAACCAACTCCCATCCCCATCCATCACCGCCACCTCACAACCTTCCTTGCCCAATTTGGCCAGTTTCGATTCTGGATCGGACCGTAACGTCGCCAACGTCGTCACAAAGTTGTGTCCACCCACGCAAAGTTTAACTGTTTCCGTTGCCAGTGCTGTGGGTTGTGATGGTGGGAGTGTGGTTGGCGATGGAGATGGAGAGCGGGAACGGAGGTCGATGAGCGATGTGATGCGGCGAAGGGGGGACGTGGAGGGCGGAGTGACAGGTGGGGTTGGGGTTGTAGAGCGGGATGGAGTGGAAGGAGAGACGGAGGCGATGAAGGCGGCGTGTAAAGGTGCGGCGATGGAGCGAAGCGGTGTGGTTTGGAGGGGGGCGGGGTGAGAGGCTTCGGGAACCGGAGCGGCGGGTGCCGGCCATTGGTATGCAGGAGTCTGCATTTGACGGCAGACCGGGGATTGAGATTAGAGCTTTTGACGTGTCAAGGAAAATAGCAAATGTTACGACTTGCAAAAAGGAAGAGGGAAGTATTCTCACCCGACGATAGGCGACGACAGCTCGACATCCAGCCGTCACAATGACGCCAAGGAGATACACCACGACCGCAAACAACGACTGCAGGAGCCTGACAGCCTTGTCCCGCACATCATACGCGTCATCCAAACTCCTCACAATCTCGACAATGGAATCAAACGCCTGCGACAGGGCGTGGGGTATGGGAGACTGTTTCAGGAGCACCGCGCAAGTGACGGCTGTGGAGATGACGGTTTGCGACACGAGAGTCATCAAATCGGCGCCGCTCATGTCCCGTCGCCGGCGCGGCGCGGGTTGCCCGTGTTGTTGCTGTTGATGGGTTTGTCGTTGGTGAGAGGTGTTATCCCTGCCGCCGACAGCAGCAGCGTGTTCACGTTCCTCGTCCGAGGACCTGTCATTATACCAACTGGCCCGCGGCCGTTGCCGTGCACCACCGCTGTGCCCTGCGCTGACGGCGGAACGGAGGGTCACACCGTCACCTTCCATTGCGCCCATTTGAGCGTTGAAGTCTCTGACGACGGAGGCGACGCGGGAGCTGACAGAGGAAGCAGCGGAGCGGACGATGTTTGCAGGCATTTGAGCCGAGTCTGGCCAGAACACGTCTGAGAGGGCGGCAAAGGCGGTGGCGGAGGCGGAGGAGGAGGAGGAGGGTGCGGCCGTTGATGGGGAGGAGGAGGCCCTGTTTCGAGGCATTTGACAGTTCCGATGGGGATATACTTATGTATTGTATAGCCTACTTTGCACCTGGATAGATAAAACCAAAGACTGACTGAAACGAAGTGCGGGTTGACAAGGCCTCCCAGTTCTCGCGAGAGGGACCCGAATTGAAACGGGGCTTGAGTTTGCAGATGTGCCACACGCGGCAATTTCCACCCGCGGATTCCTGCGATTCCTGCGCATGGCTCATTCCACACTGCTGGCACCTCTGGCACTGGACATGGAGGGACTCGTTTTCGCACGTGGAGGTATATTTCATACAATCCCCTTGATCCTCCCGCAGCAAAGAACTGGTGTGGTACATGCTGCCTCCGCCAACCACGCCATCAACCTGAAAGGCTCTTTGAATGAATCCCTCCGTCACAACTTATAAGGGGCGCTGGGAAATGGTAGACAATAACAACGGTTGCATAGTGTAGTGGTTAGCACCCCAGACTTTGAATCTGGTAACCCGAGTTCGAATCTCGGTGCGACCTATTCAAACCGGTTATTGGGTTCCATCCAAGATGGAGATTCAGACACGATATGTTTTGTGGATGTGGCCATCATCCGCAAAAATGAAGGTGCCTTCTGCACTGCCTTTTTGTTTCTCCTGCTCAATCTGCTTGATTTCGAACATGCCAAAGACTCACGCAGAACCGAATTGACGATCATGGTAGGTATGAGACCGTAAGAAAATCATTGCATCGCTTATTTTGTACATTGGAAGGCAAATCCAACCACACCCACAACCCACCGCATCAGCCCCATACAACGCATATCAACCCCCGCCCGGAGGAAAATCATCCTACCAACGAGAACCACAAGGCAAAGGAGAAACCCATAAAATAAAAAAAAAAAATCGGAAAATACACCCTCACTCCCATGCACATTCACCTCCTCAGCCTCCTCCACTTTGCGCTCCCGCGAAGCAAACATACGCACGGGCATTATTCCCAAATTACATTGTTCATGCGAAAGCCGCACCGCCGCCTTTTCCCAGCCGTCCTTACGTTTATATATGGTATATATATAAAAACGAGAAGAAGAAAAGGGCAAAGCCCCCCTTCTTCCCGCTCACTTTCGTCGCGAATTCGCTGGACCAATGTGGGCAGCAGCTACAACGTCATACGGCAGGGAGAAAAAGCGATGATGCAACGCTTCGCGCGCCGTAATACGCTCCCGTGGGTCGTACGCTAGCAAGCGGGTCAGCAAGTCATAGAACGCATTGGAAAATTCGTCGTTGGGTTTGATAAGGTCCTGTACCGAAAACGTCAAGCGGCAACCCATCGCACAGGATAGATAAAAGGGATGAAGGAGTCATTGGTCACTTACTCTGAGTGCTTTGGTTTGCCTCACAAACTTTTTACTTGCGGCTTTTGTTTTGGTATTCGGGAAGTCCACCTTATTCATTCGAAAAAACTGCTGTCCGCTCTTTCTGTGAAGACATCAGCATTAACAAACAAGCGCGGAATGCGTTCACCTCCCACACAAAAGATGGTCACAAACTCACATCGAAGCGCGTATCATCTTTTCTGGTATCTTTCCCAAAACCGCTTCCATAAGAGCCAAATGTTCCAGACTACAGACGTCCGCAAATCACAATTGACGATTCATTAGCAGCTTTCCATAAAGTCAAGTGACTCCGGAAACTACATACTTATCGTGTGTCTGAAACAGGGCATCACCCGTATAGAACTCCACCAGTATACACCCAACCGACCACTACGGGAGTACGTCAGCACCACCCCTACTGTCTCGCACAATGTGAACGGATATGCTTACCAGGTCGCACGGGAAGCTCCACCCGAGCCCCAATATAATTTCTGGGGCGCGGTAATGCCTTGTGCTTACCACAGAACTATGGTAATCGGTTTCGAAGATGGCAGATCCAAAGTCGATGAGGCGAATATTTGATGAATTGAGCTCTTTACGAACTTTCGAATTCCGCTGAGGATAAGAAGTATTAGGCAGAGCTCCGAAGACGAGGGATGATAGAAACCTACTCTAAGCTGGAAGTTCTGCGCAGTATTATCCTCGAGCATTAGATTCTCTGCATGAAGAAGGACGTGTAAGTATCATTTGCTACAACAAACGGTTTTACTCATGCTTACCCGGCTTCAGGTCTGTGTGTATCAGTCGTAAATCGTGCAAAAACGCCACTGCCTCCAATATTTGAGAACCAAACGACCGGATATGCCATGGTGGAAATGGAGCGAATGCGTTTTCTTTTAGGAAGTCGAAAACCGATTGCGCCAAGAGCTCGAAGACCATGCAAATATGGTTTCGATGGTCAAAAACGCGGATAAGATGGATGCATCGCCTGCCAACCACCTTTTTTAGCGATAGGACGGACTAAAAAATCGTCAAGAAAGAGCTTACTTTTTGTTTTCAGGGTCGTGCCTTTTCAGGGTATCCAATACTTTGATTTCGGTCCTTGAGGCATCGCGGTACTTTTGCACGGCTCTAATAATTTTGATAGCCACCCGTGTTCCGGTGCTGAGATCCACGGCTTCCACCACTTTGCCAAAAGTACCTTGACCTAGAAGCTTGACAATTTTGTCTAAAGAGACAACCCGTTAAAGACCATGGCATTTGGGCGTATAAAGCAATGAACGTACATCGTTCCGTCAGGTACTCATGAGGGACGACAATGTAATGACCTTCCTTGTCATCACACGGAGGCAAAGGCTCAGCTGAAGTCGGTAGTTCCTGCTTCACATGCAAAACGATGTCAGCATCTTTGTCGAAGCATATCCACCGCTTGATGCACCTACCGGCTGATAGGAATGCGGGGCAACCGGTTGTGTTGCATATTGAGCCACGGAAAACGATTCCGGGTGGATTTTTTTCCGTCGTTTTGCCGATGGAGCGACGCTGTATTCTGTTGCTGAAGGAGATCCTGTCAAATCAATGCACTCAACTGCTGCGGCCCGCGGTTGTTGTGCGGTTGTTGTGGTTGTGCCATTTGCAGTATCTGGATCGTGGTGCCGCGACGAACTGCCGTTGGAGCGACTTGTGGTTCGGGAAGCAGGGGCGGTTTGTGGTTGGTAAAAGGGAGGAAGTCCGGCTACGACATATGAGGTCGCAGCCGTGACTGGAGGAGGCGGGCAGTGTCCAGGCTGAGGGAGAGATACTGGCTGAGGGAGAGATACTGCGCCGTACACTGGCATTGCATAAGGTGACGGGAGTACAGCTGACGGAGAAGCTGGAGGAGAAATTTCAATAAGCATATGTGGACGTCATTGGAAGTGGTCCGTCCGAATCGCTTTCCCTTTCCCCTCACCGAGGAGGTACACCCCACTCTGCAAGCCCAAGGTCTGAAGAGCCCCTAACCCCGCCATATCTGAAAGAGGAGGGTTTTATACACCCGTTGATGAAGCTTGCCCATCCAGCACGCAACCGTCACGTCGATATGCCCATGGCAAAAACCCAGAAACTTCGTACGAATGCTCGGACGGACTGCTGGCGTATCGTCCAATAACCCCAACTTCCGCGCAGTTTCTCTCGTAGTGCAGTTTCCATTGACCCATGATTTGCCCAAATGAAGCAGATACCATGACATTCCCAATGTACCCACCTCGATACCCATTCGGCACGGCGGCATAAGGACTCAATAGCGGCCCATTCCCATTCCCGTACATAGTCACGCCATTAGCACCGACCAGCTGCTGAGGATGTTGGGGATACTGTTGTTGGGGTACCTCGTAATATCCCATCCCTCCCAGTCCCCCTCCGCTTCCCACTCCGGCAGAGTTTAATCCAGGATCATAATAGTGATGATGATTATAGGTAGCCTGGCTTTGCTTGTAAGGAGAGACGGGAGTAGGAGGGGTTTGAGAGTGAATTACTATGACACCATCGTCGGCTGTTGGCTGTGGTGAAGGAGAGGGATGCGCGCGCTTTCGTTGCAAGGCAGGCATTATTGTCGCAGTGGGTTGTGGGAGCCGTTGGACGTCCATTTGGTGGACGGGCAATTTTGAGAAAGTCAACGGACAAGAACTCCAAGGGGTTCCTTCCTTGCGCTATTGTGTGTGAATGTTCAAGTCAGCACACAGCCGGAAAAACTTCGCCAGGTTCCACTAGCTGGTGGGGTGGTGGTTGCTGTGGTCGTGAGAAAGGCCGGTTGTTGAGCGGGTCCAATTGGTGTGGGAAACAAAGGAAGAAAGAAATGGAACTTGGGTTGTCTGACCTTTCGACAAATGATTGCCAGGGGACGGCCGGAGTTGCCTCTTGACGCTTTCCTGTCAATGTTCTCACAGAGTCAACGTCCTGCTTTTGGTGCCCGCTCAATCAACAATGAATGCTTCGCGTTATGACACGACCCACTTACGATTATAACTTGATATGAACAACACGTGTGGGACAGAACACCGTAATGTACCCGTTTCGGGGTAAATGGCGTGGTGATGGGATCCCTGGCAACGACCGACTGCGCAAGCCCCACACCACCCCGCCAAATCTGAAGTCCTTCAACTTAACCCAACTTGCGAGTTGCGCGTAAGATCCGAATACACAACCAGACCCACCACCGGCTCCACGCCTGAATTTGAAATACCTTCACTCGCGTAGCGCTTCTTTCCGAAATATATAGTTTTGGTAACGACGCCCTGTCGCGTTTGTTTTCAATTCCTTCACGAGTCCATTCTGAATCACGCGCCTTTCGATTCCGCAGTTGCAATGTCTGGTTCGGATTCATGGGGCAAACCTCCGGCCTCCTCCTCTGGGGCCGACTCGTGGGGAAAACCGCCGGCAACGACAGAGGGACCTGGCGGGTGGGGGAAACCGGCAGCGGACGCAGCGGGAGCTGACGGATGGGGTAAACCTCCTTCCTCCGCGCCTTTCAAAGCCTCGGAGACGGGGGACGGATGGGGGAAACCTGCTTCTACTTCAAATGCCACGTCTTCGGGCACCAGTCGAAGCACCGGTGGAGGTTGGGGTGCGGGACCGGCAACGTCAGACGGCTGGGGAAAACCTGCGGGAGCACCTTCAGCCAATGGAACAAAATCTGAAAAGGAGGGTGCGTTTAGTCTTGTGCCGGTGTTCTGCAACGTGGAGGTTTTGGCGGTTTGATGTGCAAACTTGTCTCGCCCGCTCACAGGCTCGGTGGAAGAAGTCACAAAAAAATTGGAGGACCTCGGAACTGAAGATGAAATTCCTGAGGACGACGCTCCACGACCTAAGCAATCCGGGCTGGTTGGAGACACAGAAGAAGTGGTGGAGGTGAAACTTGCTGATTTGGAAGGGGAAGGGAACGGTCAACTGTATCAAGGAGTTTCTACATTTGAGGATCTCGGCCTCCACCCCGACCTGCTCAAAGGGATTTACGGCATGGGCTTCCAACGACCTTCCAAGATTCAGGAGAAAGCACTGCCTCTCCTTCTCACCAATCCTCCCAAGAATATGATTGGGCAATCGCAGTCTGGCACGGGAAAGACCGCTGCGTTTGTTCTTACAATGCTTAGTCGAATCAACTTCAGCCTGGACGAAACGCAGT